GCAATCATCTGATTCATCTGTTTGGGGAGGGGTCTGAAGCACAACTGATGTTACAAGACATTCTTCCATATGTTGTGTGCAATTTCCACCAGAGAGGTCTCCAAATCTCCAACACTTACATAGTGTAGCTCTAAAAGAATCATCTTTTCAAAGGTTCCTTATGGAACCAAAGTGGTTTTAATATGGCATAGCTTTAAGAACCCTTTCTGGCACATTATTTTTAAAGCCAACTTGAATAGGAAAACAGCACATTTGCCTTCCATGCAGTGATGTATTTGTGAGTGAAACGTGGTATCAGGGAGAGTCTCCGAGCTAGCTGAGTGTTTTCTCTCAATGATGGGTGGGGTTGAGGGGAGTGGGAGGTAAACATGATTTCATATTGCTGGTGCATTGTCACATAACCAAAAACCATGTTTTAGAGGTGGGCAAAAGTCATTACATTTTGATGGAAGATTAAAGGAGAATAAGAAATTTGTCTTTTAAATGATACAATACATCTAAATCTGACCGGGAACATGAACTAACAAGGTAAAAAAATTGGGTTTTGGGTTACAGGCTGCTTTTAAGAACGTAAATCTTCCCATTTCATGCAAATCAAGAAACATGTTATAAAAAATAAACAAATAAACTGCATCAGTTGGCAGAGTTGAACAGGGGTCTGAAGTCCTGAGACTTTTTGGCTGGGAGGGAAGTTAGAGGACCGTTCATTAGGGCTGATGTCTAATGAGCAGGGCAGGACCAACACCACACACAGGAAATGCATTAGCCCTAGACAGGAAGCGCTGCCTGACATCCGCTGGGCCTGGCCACTAACTCCCTTCCGAAAAATACAAACTTGCTATGGATTCAAACACTGTCCAAAGGAAATAACCACAGGATAAACACCAAAGTTTGTTGATACTATGTTCTTTTAAAGGCAAACTTTCACAATGCTTATTTAAGCCTTATATAACATAATACACAATGCTCACAACTGTCCCGGTCAGGTTAATCAGAATGGAAAACAATGCATTTATTCTAATTTGCTGGTTTTATTCATAATTGTCGCACCAGCAGGGCACCGGTGCTAATGCTCTGGCCGGTCGCCATAATCAGTGTGTTGTTTTGTTTTAATTATGCTTAAACGTCTAGAGAAAAAATGCCTGCATCTAAGGACATGTCTGTCAAAAACAGGTGAAATACTTGTTGCTTTTACAAATTAGACTTTGTTTAGAACTTCCCTCAGCTCTTAAAGAACAAACTTATAATTTTGGGGTCTATTGGCTAATCTAACCCCAAAGGTGCTGAAGTTTTCTTAGTTTGTGCTATGTATTTTAACACAATGCCCATACAAAATATGGGCTAACTAACTACCATTATCTGTGTATTCATGAAGAGATACATGATACTGGACCAATCCATGCTCCACCCACTAATGCTTTTATTATTTATACCAACTTTTGCTAGGCTAGCTTTACAAAATGCTGGCAAAAATTCTATTTAAATCCCACTCAATGAGATATTTTAGCACACAACTTTTTCTGTAAAAATACCTAGAATTGAACATGTTAATAATTGAGCATGTAGAAAGTGAGCTAGTGCTAGCATGGTGGCAAATTTGTCATTTTTGTTTCCAACCTGCACAGTTTCAGTTAGCTAAAACCACACAGTCCAGTTCGGGAGCACACTTCAAACTGCAAACTCAATGTTATGTACCCTCAAAACAAGGAGAGAAGGAAAGAACAGCACTGCTGCCATCACAGTTGCTTCCAGGTACAGGGGTCTGGTATGGGGGTGAAGTTCACTCTAGCCTGTGCCCTCTGTAATCCTCTGGTCCACTGTCTGTGGCTCAGCTATGATTGAACAACAGGACTACAGTCTCAGCTGCAGCTGGGCTTCAGCCTGAGCAGTAATACATCATTGGCACCCTCTGGATATGTAGCAACAAACATACTTGTAAATACAGTACTGTAGATGTAGGGAATCCCTCCACTCTCCCAAAACAGCATGGCAGCAGCCCACGATCATTATTTAGCCAAACCAGACATAGAGTTTTTAATTTTACAGGCCAATCAGAACTAAGATAACAAAAAAGTGAAAAAAGAGTCACATTCCATGAGAAGTGGGATTGGTTTCATTTTCACATACTCAGATTTGTTTCTTCAATAGCTTTTGAATGATGGGCAAAAAAGGTTAATGTGTAAATTTTACACTGTTAGCATCCAAGACAATTAGCTACCATTTAGTTTGTGTCTGAAATCGATGTAGAACATGTGGATTTCTGTGGACTGTAACCACTATGAAAGTTAAATGACCAAATACAAATTACAGCGGCAATAATCGGGTCCAAGCACTGCACGCCTCATGGAGCCAATAGAGCACAAATGATGGCAAACCTTTTATAATGGCCTCTATTTATAATAGATGTGGGGTCTAAAAGGAGATGAAGAAATTTCATACAAACTGACTTTTTGACCTTGGTAAGGTAAGCAAAAAATTGGTTTAACTTATAGTCAAAATACCTAGAAAATCGTACAATATTTGGACTTGAATTGTATCTGCAGAGTTGTTGACTCAATAACCAAAATATTTACCCCAGTATTTTAGTCTCAGAGTGCACTAGAATTTCACTCAAATTTTCTCCAAGGAATGATGCTGCTGGACTCTGCTAAAAGGTATTGTTTTCTGAACTTCTCCTCATGAGTTTCATGCCTGAACAATGTTCTCAGTGCTTAACTCTTCCAAAGAATCTCATCAATAACATCCAATGACCTACATGACCCATAGTAATGGATCATATTGTCAGACATCTTTTAATTGCCTTTATTTTCTATGTGCATTAGTTAAAGCCATTCTGGCCCAGTAAGTAAAATAAGTGTACTGGTGAAACAACAGCCTGCCACTAATGTCATAAGACGCTTGGTTCATAAATAGCAAACTTCTCCTACAAACACAGAGCAGATAGAGATAAAGAGAGTGTGAAGAGGGAGAAACAGATACTGATATATTCACTCGTCTCTTGCTCTCTGTCTTTCTTTCTTTCTCTCTGGCTGTTGGTGTTGCTCCTGTTGCCAGTTGGAGGTTCTCCTGTTGCCTGTTTAAAGCTCCTCATTGCCCAGGGCAACGCGGTAAAGCGCCTGTCAGAAGCGCTCTTGCTGATAATGGTATGGACGAGCGAGCGGGGGAGAGAGGCAGATAACACACGCCGCACACACACATGCACACACACTCACACACTCACAAACAGCATCCTTTGTATGGTGTGTAGATTTGGGTCGAAGCATTCATTGTGCAAGCTTTTAGAATCATGGCACAGAGTCGGGCACACCACATTTGTGCACATTTGTATACAGCTGCAGGTATCGGCAGTGTGTTTATGTTTATCAGCTCTCTAGCTTTTACCCTGCATCTCCATCTCGTCTATGATGGTGCCATAAATGACCTACTTATGCTCCTCCCACAAATGTGTTCTTTCCTAACAACTGTTTCCAGATTGGACAAGCTTTACAGAATGATTGAAAAACTGCAGTTCAATCTAATAAGAAACTGTTTGTCTTGGAGGGGGGTTGCCCAATTTTTCACACATTTAGTGATAGCTACTTTGACCCACTAGTTAGGCCTCCTTTTATCACATGATCCTACCAAATTGGCAGGGTGAAGGCTGGCACATGAGCACATGCCTTCTCCAAGTCATATGAAGCGCCACTGCATTTTTTTAAACTGCTGCTAATGCTATGTCATTGAACATGATTGGAGGATACTGGTCATTCTTTTACGTTAGCTAGGAAATGCTCATGCTGGGTAACATCGCAGTGAGTAATGGGTTTTTGTTTTGTAATCTAGCTAACATTAGCAAGGTAGAAAATGTGTTCTTTATAAACCCGACTAGTCTTGATTAGCTACAACAATGCAGCTCAGGAGTATAGCAGTTTAATTTGTTGGAATCATAATGGTCGGTAAATTGTCAACATCGGACGGATGTTTAGATTTAACTGATAGTTCAAACGTATTCGGTAATGTACTTATTATTTATTGTTCTCAGAAGAAGACAAATGTTAGTGTGATGCTGGGCTACTGCGCTAAAATGTCTGCATTTTATTCATCTTACTCTATTTCTAACCATCTACAAATAAATATTATATTTCTCAATGCTAAACTAGGTAGATGTGCATTCTATAAATGTCTATATATCAACTATGGCAAATATGTACATGAAAAATATGAGATACGGGCATCAGCAATTCTCATATCCCTACTACAAAGTACATGGTAAAGATTCTGCTATTCCACTGTGAATAATGTACAAGTTTCAACAAAAATGTTTTGACCAATGTTCTGTAATGCTAGCCCACCCCTGCTAAGAAAGAACGCATTTGTGGGTGGAGCATGGATGGGTCAATTGCACGCATTATGTCAGAGGTTTACAAAAGTCCAGCCACAGTACTCCCTAAAGTGCTGATCTCATGACAGATCCTTTACCCCACAACACTAATGAGGGTTATTCACAGGAGAAAGTTGAGCCTGATCCCGGATCAACATTGAACCAATCAACCAACAAAAAAGAAGCTCTTCCACTGAAGTGAGTCCACATCAAAAACGCCCGTCAACTATAGTAATAGGACAACAGCTCAGTCAAAAATAGCCATGCATTAATAAAGCAAAGCTCAATGTTAGGCTTATTGTGCTAATGATGAGTGACAGAAGGTGCAGGAAAAGTCCTAGGGACACTTGCAAGAGTGCAGTCCAGTCTAGAAAGAGTTGTACAGGGTTTTGACCAGGGCTTTTGACAGTAGAGCAGCACAATGTAATTACTGCTTAACTGACTATGTAATTAATTGCATAATTATGTAATTACATACAAATTATTGTGTGATTTAAAATGTAAATCTAGCAAAATGAGACATCTCTAATTCTCTAATATCCGTCAGGTCATTACTTATGCTATCCTATATTACCCCCTCACCTGTGCGGCTGTGGGTGCGCGCGAGAGAGAGAAAAGCCAGAAAAAGAAGTTTACTCACCAAGGGCTGTCGCGTGGCTCCTGCTCCGTCCTCATCTGCCTGTCTGCGTGTGTGCGTGTGTGTTGTGTGTTCTCGCACGCTCACTGTCACCTCCTCCTCTCTGTCCATAAGTCACACGACGACAGCATCCGTGTTTGTTCCCAAATCAGAGCGAGTGCGCGCGCTGGCGAGTGTGCGTGCGTGTTTGCTCCACATGCCAATCACTTCCTCCTCTTCACACAGCCTGGAGTGTGTGTGTATCTTCAAACGCATGGACGAGGAGAAAATGAGCCCCCAACCTCCCCTATAAGAGGGTCTGCCGGGATAGCAGGGCAGCAGAGCGCTCGCTCTCTCTTCTGGAGTGTGTGTGTGTGTGTGTGTGTGTGTGTGTATGTGTGTGCGAGAGAGGGTAGAGAGGGTTGGAGCGCCGACGCTTTCTGGAGCTGTTGCTGTCTCTCTCTGTCCGCGCGCTGTTTGGCTTCACTGTCAAGGGACTGTCTCACAAGTGCAGGGAGAAATCAATTACGTAGAACAGTTAAGGGCTTGTGGATAATTAGAAGAAAATGAAAGGTAATTGTTGAAGTGGTTTCTGAAAGCAAGGCTGCATGATATATAGCTAATAATGTCAAACTGAAGGATCACCAGTAAGCAATATGTATCTTAACTGCAATATAGCATCACTTCCATATATGGATCATTCTACTGAATTGGTTTAAAGTCAGAGATGAAAACACATTTTAGACTTTTAACTGACTTGAACTTTAGACTAAAATCCTTTTGCTTTAACTGACCTTATATCTTTATTGTGTTTATTTTATTAAAATCAGTGATTGAACATTCAATTTTGTCACCACCAATACAACAATGCTTCTAAAACGTTACCAAATATTTTGGTTGTGACTGGTTTGGTAGTGACAATTTTGAGCTCAACTTAAAAATGCTAGCCAGTACATGACCAGCCTACACAGCTTTGAATAGGTGTGCACACATGAAGTCAAAATATTTTTCATGAAAACAAAAATGTTTACTTAATTGCAGAAAATGTGTTTCAGTAAGGACAATTATTAATGCTACACACTGATTTTCAGACTTCAAACTTCAAAACAATTCGAAACTGCTAATGCACTGGCAGGGACAGGGATGCCATCTCACTTCCTGCTCTAAAATGTTTCTGTAGTGACTTGAAAATGTGAAACACATACACACACACACTTTCTAAGCCTGCTTATCCTCCTGGATCTCCGGGGGAGCTGGAGCCTATTCCAGCGGTCAATGGGCGGAAAGCAGGAAACACCCTGGACAGGTCACCAGTCCACCGCAGGGCAAAATATGAAACAGCAAAGTTTTTAATTAAAAATTAAACTCATGATAATTCAAAAAATTCAAAGATATATAGAAAGTGCCCTAGAAATTATGATTTTGTATATATACATAGCTTATTACTGTCACAATTAATGCCTTGGGATTAAATAGATCATAATATGATGCTTGTAAATATCCTAGGTCTGAGTATTAATTCATATTAATGAATATTAAATAATATTAATGAATACTAACAAAGTAGTTTTTACTGTGGGTCTGTGGTTTGAACTAAATCAGTACAATGCTCCATATCCTAAAGAAGAGGTTTTGCTGTTTCGGTGTAAAGATATAAAGGAACATAAAGCTTTTGTGAAAAATACTGTTTTCTCTAGTTTTGAAACAAACTTAAGACATTTTGTTTAAAAATATACAATAACAAACACACACACACACACACACACACACACACACACACGCATGCACACACATGTGCACACACACACACACAAACAGCTCAACTGCAGTAGACCCTCCTTATAAGACTATGTTTTCTCAAGGGAGTAGTACACACAAGTGTCACAGTGGAATAAATCTGGTATCCGAGGGTCAGGGTTAAGGATATTAGTAGCCTGCTGACCACAAGGTTCAGGCTACTGCACCTCTAAAAAAATGAAGCCTCAGTCTCTCTCCCTCCATCTCCACCTCAGAGACATGAGACCACCACAGATATGAACACTCTGACCTTAGCTTTGACCCCATACTCAACTCCATGGTCTGTCCTGCCACAGAGGAACAAATTTGTGTTCAATTGATACTTCTCTCTGTCTCCCTATCTGTCTCTCTCTCTCTCTCTCTCTCTCTCACACACATTTTTTGTACAATGTCAGTATGAAGAGCCACACTGCTTTGTAATAATAATATAACCCATGTGTTTTATATATATATATATATATATATATATATATATATATATATATATATATATATATATATATATATATATTAGTACCTACATTTAACACCTTAAAATCCCAGGCTTATTACATACTAAGGCTTATTATTCAGTAACTACTTCAATTAGATTGTTCTTAGGTTGCAGGAGTGCATAATAAACCTTTGTGGGCAGGCTTTGGCTGTAATAATAATAATAATATTCCCAATATTTGTTATATACAGTATAATACATATTACATATGTATATACACAGTACATATGTATGTACCCATATATAATAATGATAATATCCCATATGTTTTATAAATATGTAAGTACCTATATGTAATAAGAATGTCCCATACATATTATGCAGTGCTGTGCAAGTCAGAGACAACACTTCTTTTATTTGATTTCCAGTCAAAACAGCTATTAACTTCAAGATATTCCTTTTTCAGCATCAGCACAAAAGCAGAAATACATATATTAAAAAGAAAATTACACAGAAGAATAAACAACTAAATATATATATATTTTTATTTCAGTATTTAGTGTGCCCACCTTTTGCTTGTATTATAGCGTCTGTTCTTTTCAAGAGACTTGCTTTTAGTTTTTCAAAGAAATCTACAGGGATATTTTTTCACACCTCTAAAGTTCAGTCTTAGAAGCTGGTTGCATTTTCTGCTTCTCACAATCCAAGTAATTCCTATTACAGATTTATCAGTCCATAAAACCTTATTCTACATCTCAGATGTATTTTTCGTTTATTTCTTTTTCTCAGTAAGGGCCTCTTGATACACATCCTTTCAGACTCATAGCGCTGAATTGTGGATTTTTTTACATCTGAAACAAAAGTGGAGCTTGATTTCCTCCTCTCTCTCAAAGGGGAAAGCTTTAATTTCTCTTTATCAGATGGTGACTGTTTTGGGGGTCTACCAGGTCCTGTATGGTTGGTAGAAGTCTGAATCTTTCAATCATCTTTTGGACTCCAGCATTTGAAACGCCTGTTTTTTCACTTATTTGATGTTCTTTTCTTCACCTGAAAAAAATAATTTGTTTTTAATGACAGTTTTGAATGGAAATTGAATAAATGAAGGATGGTCTCTGACTTTTGCACAGCACTATGTATATGTAAGTACCTACATGTAGTAATAATGTATCCTATATGTATGTATTATAGATATGTAAGCACCTACATGTAACACATGGATATGTGACACACACACACACACACACACACACACACACACAGACACACACACACACACACAGTGCTCATAGAATCTTTTATAAGCAGCCTACTTGTGACATTCATGCATAATTTGCTCTAATCAAACTGCTTACATTTTTTTACATCTACTTAACTGAGCAATTTACTTTAAAGTGCTATTACAAATTTCTCTCAGGAACAGCTCTTGAGAAGTTCTATGGCCAAGATTAACCAAAATCTACATTTAAATCACTAAATGTCACTATAATTTTTCTCCACAGTCATTTCAGGCAAAAAACAAAAGCTGGATCCACTAAAAATGTCTCTGCAATTTGCCATCTCTAAAATGTGTCAATGAAAGAGAAAAGTGTTCAAAGATGTGGCTGCATTGCACTCATTTAAAGTCTTTAGATGTGACAAATTGAGGCCACATTTTAAGTTGCCACTCTTGACAGCATACACACAGCATTAGAAAATAGATCCCTTTCGTTGTTTAGAGCTGTTAGGTTTGAAGTCTTCAGCTGGAATCTACTCAAAGTGTTTCCTGTTCTTCTTTCCATCTTCACACGCTGATATTTATTTATTTTAATATTCAAAACAAGACAGCAGGACACCAGGGGCACGGTAATAGAAGCTCAAACACAATAAATATTTGAAGTAGCATTCTGGTTTAGAACTACAGTCCTGCAATATTCATGATATTTATGTAATCTTTTAATGCACACAGGGCTCATAGACTACTTATCAAATGTTGTTTGTTGTCACACTGTAAAAAAGTGATGCAGTGAATTGACCTGATTCAAATGTGTACATCAGTGGTCTTCAACTCTGCTCCTGAAGAGCTGCCTTCCTGCAGAGTTTAGTTCCAACCTGTATCTAGTAAGCTGCACTGCCCCTTACTTAACTCTAATACATCTGATCCAGCCAATCAGGGACTTGGGAAGAGGTTGACGAGATGGAACAGGTTTGGCAAAGTGTGGTTGGAACTAGGCTCTGCAGGAAGGTAGCTCTGCAGGACCAGGGTTAAAGACCACTGGTGTACATTTCCACATGAATTTTACTAAAACGTTTACTAAATTGTACAAAGTGTTTATATTTCATTCATGTTATTCATGTACACAGGTGGATCAAGTAAATTCAATGCATTACCTTTTTCTCCTGTGCCCAAAACTATGTGGACGACTGACCATTACACCTAGATGAGCTTGTTCACTGCAAAAAAATGTTTTTTTTTAAAGATCATTTACCTTATTTCTAGACATATTTTATTATTATATTTTATTTTGAGTAATTTTATGATGTAAAATGATCTCATTTTATTGTCAGATAATTTTACTTGTTTTAAGAAATGTGCTTGAAGCCAGCAAACTTATGTCAGTATAGTGAGATAATTTTACTTGATAAAATGACCTAAAACAAGTGAAAATGTCTAGAAATAAACTAGATAATGTTATAATGACCGCACAAACATCTCAAAATGAGAAATATTACATAGATCAACTAGATTTAAGACCATTTCACTTGAAAAGACACTATTTTTCACAGTGTAGGTCATTCAATTCCTAAATCATGGTTGTTAATGTGGAGTTCTGGGAAGGCTTTGCATAAGATTTTGGAGTGTGTCTGTGGGAAATTTTACCCATTTAGTCAAAAGAGTATTTATGGTCAGGGCTCTGTGCAGGCCACTGGAGTTCCTCCACAACAAACTTGTCAAACCATGTTGTTATGGACCTCACTTTGTGAACAGAGGCACAATCATGTGAAATAGGAACAGGCCTTTCCTAAATAGTAGGAAGCACATAATTGTCTTAAATGTCTTAATATGCTGTAGCATTAACTTTACCCCACACTGGAACTAAGGAGCTTAGCACAAAAATGGAGATTCAAGGTTTTGTTCCATCAGCTATAGTCATTGATTGGAACATGTAGTCACTGTCACTCTCACTGGAACAAACAAACAAACAAACAC